GGAGCATGGCTGTCCTTGAGCTGGTTGTCCCTTGATGATCTTGGGTGACCCTTTCTGTAGAGGGAGTCAAACCCAACTCTTCTGGGATGATGGAGAGGGATCTCAGTGTTGTAAATGTCCATTTATTCCTCTTCCAGAGTATTTCCTCAGGTTGGGGCTCATAGAGATGAGATTAAAGTCTGTTCTAACAAACCAAGTTTGTTAGTCAGGTTTCCTTTGGACTTGAAAACACAGTGAAAACAGCTCCTGGCTGCCCCAGAAGTTTTGTGCTGTGGAAGCTTTGTTAGAAAGCTCTGAGGAAATTGCTGTCCTTTCAGAATAAAGTGTGCCAAGTAAAATAGCCCCACGGCCATCATGCTGGGAGCTGAGGGCTGATTGAAAGTGCAAAAGCCAATGACCAGCTGTAATCAGTAATGGCTGTGTCAGGAAGCTGAAATTGCTGCAGGGAAGGAGACAGGAGAGCAGGGTCTGCTCCTGCTGGAGCTGAGACTAAGATAAATGGCAGCAGAAAAGCCCTGCTACCAAAGAGCTATGGAATAAATTGATGCATTAGAAGCCTCAGCACATTAGATCACTGGAAAGGACACTCAGAGCACCAGGGAGCCAGGTCAGTGAGGGCTGAAGGCAGCACTGCCTGCCCAGATGAGTTACTGGGCTCCACCCTGGCACTCCAACAGCCAGCTGGTGAGTCACAGGAGCTGCAGCATCAGTGACAGTGATGTATAATTAGCCTTGGGATATATTGAAATTTTCAAATATGTGCTGAATTAAACCTTCACCCACAGTGCAGAGAAAAACACATGATGACTTTTAATATAAATAAAATATTAGACAGCAGAAAGCATATAGTTTTTTATAGTCTATGGTGCTGATGTTCTGAAGAGACTCCAAAGCTCTCTGCAATTTATGGGCCAAATCTATTTCTAGGAAGTAATGCCAGGAATATTTTTGAGGAAGGAGAGCTAAAGCTCAGCATGTCTACCTTGGAACTGCTGTAACAGATGCAGCCAACTGTAATAAATGTAAAACACACTAAACAAGACCAAGGGAGTTGTGTCCAACCTGAGCAGTACAAATCCTTCCAGTGTTAAATCATCCAAGATTTCCTCTGATATTACTTCCTCTATTAAATAGCAAGTTGGTTTTTATTTCAGACCTGAGAAGCATAGGTACTTTTCACTGAAGATCGAAGATACTTACTTTGAACTGTAGAAAGAAGTGAATCTGTTTGGTCAGTTACATTAGGGGCTCAATAAAGACTCTCATTGCTGTCTACAAAGTGATCACATCACCCAGGAAGCACTTTAATGCACAAGTGAGTGGTCCAGGTGGGAGAGATGTAGGTTGGTTAAGTGTAGAAGATGTGTAGCACTTAAAAAACAAGATACTATAGCAAAGCATGGGCTGAGAAACAAGTAACTGCCCTTTTCCAGTATTCTCTAATTATTGATTCATTGAGTATTATGCACAAGTAACAATTTGTGGTTTTCAGCAACTTTTGCCCATGTTTTGCATTTATTCAGTGGATGTTGGAAGAATGTTATGTCCCTTTGTCCCACTGAGCCATAACTCCAAGTTTAAATGATGCAGGGCACTCTCACAGACACCCCCTCCAGCGCTGCCATGCCCCACCCAGACCCTACAACCCCCTCAGTGTTTAATATGGGCACAGCCAGAGCCTGCTCTGGGAAATAATTAATACACAAGTACTGAAAAAGGAGCATAGAACCAACTGTTCTGTAGGTCAAGAGCGCTTGTGTGTCAGGAAGCCACACCATGGGGTTGTGTTTTACCAAGTGGCTCAAGAGAACATGAAGAGTCTCTCCACTGGGTCCTGGAGATCCTTTTTCCCCAAGGCTTACCCTGGGAACAGAGGGCTACAGGAGGCCTTTGTGCCTTCCCACCCAGTACTTCAGCTCAGGACACAGTCAAGCTCGTTGAAGCTGTGATAATTTTCCAGCCTTGCTTGAATTCAACACTTTTCCCTTTGAAGTTGTGATAATTTTCCAGCCTCACTTGAATTCAACACTTTTCCCCTTTGAAGCTGTGTGGAAACCCAGGGCACCGGGAATATTTCTGTCTGCTCTGGGGTGCCCTGACCCCCAGGGGAGCACTGACTTTGACCCTCATTAATGGAGAAAGTTTCCTAAACTCCAGAATAGGGAATCCACTAGGGTGTGAAGTAGTTTGCAGAGAGTAGCGTAGGTGTATCACTTAGGTGGGAAATTTAGGGTTTGGGATTTTTAGCACGTTGTGGATGGGAGCAAGATGGAGGGCACAGGGTATCATCCTGGGTTTCTTTGTGCTTCTTCTTCCTTCTTCATGGGTTTGGGTGGAATTTTGTAATTGGGTGGAAAATCTGCATTGTGGGCTCTGTGGGATCAGTTATTGGATTAAAAGGGAAAATAATCTAGGTGTCAGTTCTTAATTGGATAGTTTAGCTTTAAAAGACCTCGTAACAAAAGATTGTTGGCCATTTTGTGGTGCTTTTCCAGTGCGCTGAGCCTGGTGTGGACAGCGTGCAAAACTCTAGATAAAATAACAAACAAGAACCTGAAGACCAGAAAGATCCAGTGCATCTCACTTTCCTGACACAAAACCACTCCAGAAGGGTCTTCCCCAACAGGAGAGCCCCCTGGGAGGGCTCAGCCAGAGTCCCAGAAATCGGGGAATCAGCAACAGGTACCCCAGCAAAGCTGTGATTATTTTCCAGCCTCACTTGAATTCAATACTTTGCCCCTTTGAGGCTGTGATGATTTCCCAGCCTCACTTGAATTCAATACTTTTCCCATTGAGGCTGTGATGATTTCCCAGCCTCACTTGAATTCAATACTTTTCCCCTTTGAGCTGTGATTGATAATTTCCCAGCCTCACTCGAATTCAATACTTTTCCCCTTTGAGGCTGTGATAGTTTCCCAGCCTCACTTGAATTCAATACTTTTCCCCTTTGAGACTGTGATGGTTTCTCAGCCTCACTCGAATTCAATACTTTTCCTCTTTGAGCTGTGATGATTTCCCAGCCTCACTCAAATTCAATACCTTTCCTCTTTGAGCTGTGATTGATAATTTCCCAGCCTCACTTGAATTCAATACTTTTCCCCTTTGAGGCAGCGGCACTTTGGTCTCAGAGCTGTTGAGCTCAGAGAGCAGCTGGAGTGCTCCAGCCCTGTGTGCACAGCATGGCCCCAGGGCAAGCACTCGAAACCTAAAATGACAGAAATGTTTTGCAAGAGGAGCTGATTTCACCATTGCTCAACAGCTGGGGAGCTCCCAGGAGCCATGGCCTGTGGCCTGCAGCAGGACCTTGGTGACAGGAATTGGAGCCACCAACAGAGCAGCTGCCCTGACAGCTCCTATCTGCAGCTGGTGTTCTTCTTTCTGATCTTCTCACCTACAGACCTGGTCTGGAAATCCTTTCTATCCAACAAGAAGGAAATGGCCATGCTGTTTCTCCTAAATTCCAGTGATATTTAGGGGAGTTTGTCTCTCAGGGCAAAAAGCTCCCTGGAATTCCTGGAGGGAGCAGGGTCAGGGGAAGCCACAGAGCTGATTTGAACAAAATCTTACAATCTGTCCTGGAAGCCACAACATTTAATACATCTTAATTGGCTTATTTTCATTCTAAAATGCACTTGGAGAAAGAATGTGTCCATGATGGTCTGGGGGACATCCAAGAGTAAAGCTGTTTTCTGAGACCAAGCGATGTAAATAGAAAAAATGAAATTAATTAGAAAGTAAAAAAAAGACCTCAAATCAATATAAATTAATTTAAATAAAAATTAAATGAAAGTATAACTAAAATTTAATTATAAAATTAAAATAAATTTTAAAAAAATTTAAATAACAATAAAATTAATGCCCTCAGGCTTTCTCACATGCAAACCCATCATCAGCTCCAAAGCAGCAGCAGCAGCAGCTGGGACATGGGATAACTTTGGTTAAGGAATGTATATAGGAAAAGTGTTTTACTATCAATCCTAGCTAACAATCCTAGCTCCAGGAATAATCCCTCTCTTTTATCTAGTTTAGGTGGGTAACTCATGTAGGGGACCAGGAAGAGCACATGTGGGTTCATTTTTCAGCTCTAGCAGGATCAGATGTTTATAAATAAATAAATAAATAAGCCCTTAATAAATTACAAAATAAGAAAAACACAACAGCTGTAAAATAAAGGCTAGATTGGATATTAGGAAAAGGTTTTACACCCAGAGGGTGGTTGGGCACTGGAACAGGCTCTGCAGGGCAGCGCTCACAGCACTGAGCCTGACAGAGCTCAGTGAGAAGGGTTTGGAAATAATCTCGGGCACAGGGTGAGGTTTGTGGGGTGTCCTGTGCACGGCCAGGAGCTGCACTGATGTTACTTTTGGATGCCTTCCAACTCAGGACATTCTGATTCTGTGATTCTATGAGAGTAAAACACAATAGAGGAAAACAAAATAAATTTTTAAAATACAAGAACGAGAAAATAAAACCTATAATAAGAAAAATCAAATCGAGTAAAAAAAAACAAAAGAAAATAAAACCTATAATAAGAAAAATCAAAACCAAATCAAATCAGGCTCCTTCCTCCAAGCAGCCATATCATCATCCTTAATACGATTTGCTCAAATACCGCAACTTTGTTGAGCAACAAATCGGCACCGGCAGCGCTGGCTCCGCCCCTCCCCTCCCCGCAGGCCGGGCCGGCGACTCCGCACCCGCGCAGGGGCCGCTCCCGCCGCTCCGCCCCGCCCGGGGCCGGGGCCGGTGTCGGTGTCGCTCCGCCCCTCCGGTGCCGGTGGCAGTGCCGGTGCCGTTGCCGGTGCCGTTGCCGGTGCCGCTCCCCCCGGTGCCGTTCCCGGTGCCGGTTCGGCCCTGCCGTTCCCGGTGCGGTTCCCGGTGCGGTTCCCGGTGCGGTTCCCGGTGCGGTTCCCGGTGCCGGTGCCGGCTCGGCCCGCGGGACGCGCGGAGCGGGCGGGGCGGAGGCGCAGGATGAGCGGGCGCCCCCCCGCGGCCGCCGGCGCAGCGCCCCCGCGCCATGGAGGGATTCCCCGCCCGCGGGTACGGCACCGGCGGCGCCGACAACCGGCCGCTCTTCGGGGAGACCTCGGCCAGGGTAAGGGACCCGCCGCCCCCGGCACCCCGCTGCCCCGAAACACCCCCGGCAATGCGAACCGCCCCGGGGGAAATGCAGCTGCGAGTCCCGTAGTGCCCCCTTCCCTCCGCACCCTCCCGGTGTGAATGCCCCCCGGTTATGGGGAGGCTCCTCCCGGCCGTCCCGGGGAGCGGCAGCTCGGCACCCACCCTGCCCCCGGGCTCGGCGCGGAGCGGCCCGCCCGAGCGAGGAACCTGCCCGAACCCTGCCAACAAATTTGAAAATCCCTATGGAATAAGAAAGAATCCTCGGTCCCCCTCTAAACAGCGTCAGAAATCGCAAAGGCTGCACCCCAAAGAAAAAATATTAAAGGAGCTCCTCAAATTCCAAAAGAAGGAAAAGCTTTAATTTGGCGTAATTATAAGAAAAACCCACCCTGAATTAAAACAAAAACAACCATCTCCTAGTTAGTGCCCCAAAGCAAAAATAATCCATCAACCCCAAAGGAGAACCGCGCCAAATTTTTTAAAAACCCCGAACGATATCCCCAGAACTAAACCCTTCCAGCAAGACCCCCTCCCCAAATAACTCACAAACATTTCCCTCCCCCCTCCCCGCAAAGAAATCAACTTTCAAATAATCCTCCCCAAAGCGACATCCTCCCAAAACTCTATCGGGAACTTGGGGGTCGGGGGCACCCTGGGAGTGGGGCTGGGCACGGGCAGGGGGTGACAGAGCCGCCGTGTCCCACCCGGGTGTGCCCTGCGGAGCCCGGGCAGCCTCTAACCCCATCTGGGGGATGGGGATGGGAATGGAGGGGCTGCGTTTGGTGCTTTCCTGGGCACTGATTTTCCTGCCGGGCTGGAGGAGCTGGCGGTGGCTCCTTCCTGGGCTGGGCTGTGGCACAGCGGCTCCTCAGGTGTCAATCCCCGCAAGCCGCTCGGCTCCCGGCGCTGCTGCGGGGCTCTGCCCGGCAGGGAGGGGGCTCCTGGGGCTGCCCGGCACCGGGATCCCTCGGGAACCACTGTACCTGGAATGTCACATCACCAGGGGCTGTCCCCTGTTAGGAGGGGTTACACACTCGTGTGTGTTTGAGGGGTGCAGGCTGAAAGTGCCTGAGATTATTCAGAAGTGAATCAAATCCATCACCGCCCTCCCTGCAAGAACTTGGAACTGCTGCTACAGTTATAATGTTTAATGAGAACAAAGTGATAGCCAGCGGATTTTCGGGGGAAAATGGAATGATGTGGATGAGAAACACTCAAGAGAGAAATGCTCTCACTGTAGGACAGGCAGGACCCCAAGGAGATGAACTGAGGGGGGACAGGTACCCCACCAGCTGTGCTGCCCTGATGGGCACTGGAGGTTTTGGGGCACTTGGGTCAGGGATTTTGGGAAGCTCCCAGCGATGGGCACTTCTGGGGGCGCTTCTGGGGACTGGGATGGGCCATCAGAGCAGGGAGCCAGTCCTGGCAGGTAACTCCCAAACTTTTCAGCCCAGGTTAAGCCTTCGATCCCTGATCTCTGTCTTTTTCCAGCTACGCCTCTTCTCGCAAGGGGGAGTGGTGAATAATAAAGGTGGGATGCTAATTTCAGTTCTGGGCTCTGGTGGGGATCCAGCGTCCTGCACTTCTCCCCCTGCCCGTCTCCTGTGGCTGTTTTGGGACCTGTCAGATGGGCTCTCGCTGCTGTACCCGTGTCCCACAGACAGGGGATTTGTGCTGGCCCGGGGTCCTTCCCTCCCTGGTTCACTGGGGTTGCTCAGGAACGGACGCTGGTGAGGTCCCCAGCTGGAATGTTCTGGGTCAGAAGTGGAAAAGCCAAACTTTGCCTTTAAACGGGAGCAGCTCTGCCGGGAGGAGTGTCTGCCCCTGTCCCAGCTCTGCTTTTGGGTCTCTGCAAAGGATGGCTGATACTGACAAACTGGGATCCTCTGCTCGGGCTGGGAGGGGCAGGGGCAGTGCTTGTGCCCCAGGAAGCCCTGAGCCCAAAATTAGAAATTGGAAATGGATGTAGAGATGGGGATTCCCTCTTCCTGCCTTCCTGCACTCACCTGGTCCCCAAGCTGGTGACTTTGAGGGCAAAGCCACTGTGTGGGGATGGCAGAGCTGGGCAGCAGCACCCACGCCCCTGCCCTGCCGTGGTCCAGCTGCTCCTGCCAGGCTGGCTCTCGTGTGTGATGTTGAGCAGGGACTGGGGCAAGGTGGTGCCCAGAAGTGGCTGCTGGGCAGAGGGAGTGCAGGAACACGGCACCAGTGAGTGCCAGGCTCTGTGGATGTAGCTGTGGTTCCAGGGATGCAGTGAGTGGTGTGAGACAAGGCAAAGGCACAGCTGCACGGTGGCAAGGAGGGCACAGAGTGCCACAGGTGCAGCACTTTTCAGGAGAGAAGTTCAAAGTTGGGCTCCTCCATGGTGGGGGTGTTTGTGTGGTGGGAGTTAATTGGGAATTAATTTGGAAGCAGAAGGCAATAGCGAGGCTGAGCAGCTTGGGATGGGAATGATGAGCTTTTGAGGACACACCAGGATGTCCCCATGTCCTGCAGAGGGTGGGTGTCCAGCATGGCCCTGGCACAGCCTGTTTGGCCTGCAGTTCCACCAGGCTGGGCCTGGCACTGCACTCAGGCTGCAATGGCTGCTGACCATCTGGACTGGCTGATGTCAGGCATAAAAATGGCCTTTCTGTCACTCCTGCAGAGATGGCACCAGGTACCCACGCTCCAGGGGACCTGCCCTTTCCCTTCTCCTGGCCAAGCCTCCCTCAGGATCCCTGGGGGCTCAGCCCACATGCTGCTAACCTGGAGGGTTCAGGGATGGAAGGTGCCGAGCTGGAATGGGGCAAGGAGCAAAGCTGCCCCTCTGTCACAGCCTGTGGAGGGAGAGCAGACACAGTCCCAGCCTAGCCTCAGTTTCCCTCCTGCTCCAAGTAACCTTGACCCAGATCCTCAAGAATCCTGGATTGTGCCCTCCTGCTTTGCAAGGATTTGGCGCTTCCTGACCTCATGTCCCTTTCCAGAGGCAGATGGAGGGAGAGGAGACTGCACTGAGAGGCTCCCTGGGAGAACTCTGATGCCTCCAGCCCCTGCAATCCCCTACCCAGAGAAAAGGACGGGGCAGGAACCCTCCTGTTTCCAAATGCATCTTGTGCAACAGTGAAACATGGAATTCCTCTCCTGCCTGGCTGAATGGGGACCCCCATGGGGGCTCTGCTGGGCTCTATCAGAAATTGGGGTGTGTGTGCAGTACCCTGGGCTGGTCCAGGTCACCTCAGGCTCTCTGTTTTGGTGTCCCTGCTGGGGTTTTTTGTCTTTTCCTCCAGCAGCTATTGCAGTACATAGTGATGCTGGAGAAAAATCCTCCCTGAATCAGCTGTGCTGGTGGTGACCTGTAGGACACAAGGCTGTCCACAGGCAGTTGCTGCCTGCCCAGCAGTGTCTGCCTGGCCAGGCTGTGCTCTCAGACACAGTGTGGAGGTGAAAGGCTCCGTCATCCCCAATCCCTTTAGCCGTCTTGGCCTCTGCTTGAGTATTTTTAACCTTTTTGCTGTGCTAAGCTGCCTGGGGCTGAAGTGTCAGTGGGCACTGGGGAATGCAGCCTCTCACTGCTTTGCCAAGCCCAGGATTTCAGGATCAGTGTCTCTAATCCCTGCATCCTGAAATACCTTCTTGTGCCAGCAGTGTGTTTTGAAAATTTGAGTGCCCACAGGTTTAAGCAGGGAAGGGGCTGCCTTGGCTGCAGGGACTGGATGCACTGCTGGCATCTGTGCCTGATCCTGCTGGCCCTGGGAGGTCCCTCAGTCAGCAGGGTGAGATGAGAGGTCCCTGTGCTGGGGGATGCTCTCTCCCACACTGGAACTCAAGAGAGAAATGCTCCATGATCGCTGTCAGGTCTGACCCCCTTGTTTTCTCCTGCCAGTCCAGCCTGTCCTGGCACAATGGGTCTCAGTTAATGAGGAGCAGGCATGGCTGAGTTTCTGGATGGTGGCTGACTGTGTGTCCATCCCTCTGAGCTCTCTGCAGAGCTGGCTGTGCCCCTGTGCTCACCAGGTGAGCTCTGCAGGTTGGTGACCCACTGCCGGTTCTGCTCCCTGGCATTCCCTGCTGTCTCTCCTCCTGGCACAAGGGATCCAGTTGCTCCCCTCTTGCCACCCTGAATGGAGGAGCTGAGCCTGAATGCCAGCTCTGGTCCCCCTCTGTAACATTGCCTTGGTGGGCTCAGCCAGGTCTGCAGGGCAAGGGCAGAACAGAAATGCCATCCTCTCCTGGTGCTGGAGTGGCTTTTGGGGTAAGGACCCTTCCATGTCCTGCCCAAAGTCAGCTTTTAGTTCTTTATTTTAGGTGAGGAGGAGGAGTCCAGCTGAGCTGTCATGATGTGCTCTCATGGAGCATTTCATGGTTGCACTTTTCAAGCTGCTTCTCTTGTTTGCCTGGGGTTACTTCTCCTGGTTCCTTTGTGGGGTCGGTGTCCCATAGCTGGCTCTGAGGCTGCTGCCACATCACCAACTCTGTGTGTGGAAATGCCAGTGAGGAGAAGGGGTTTGTGCCTGGCTGGGGAGGACCTTGCCGAGGGGATGTTGGTGACAATTTCCTATGGAGGGGAGGGAGTCACTTCTCCCTGCTCCAACCACTGGGACCTCTGGGCTGCAGGAGCATCAGTAGTTTTGTTTTACAAAGAGGAGTTGGGGACTGATAGGAGAGGTTTTGGAGTCTGCTTGCTGTGGCCCTGTCCCCTGGGGATGAGCACAACCAGAGCACAGCATCCACCTGTTCCTGAACCACCTCAGCCTGAGCTCCACAGCCTCAGGTCAGGGCTGCTGGTGTCCCACAAATTAATGGTTTGCTGCTCTCTGCCTCCTCTTTGCTTTCTTCTAGTGCCCTGCTGCTGTCATGTGTTACTTCTTGATGGCCTGGGACTTCTCCCTCTACAAATCCAAATTCTAGGAGGCAAGAACTGTGCAAGGTGGAGGGAAGCCCGTGTTGCTCAGTGAAAGCATTTGGGCAAAATGCTTTCACTGCTCAAACTCCTTTCTCACTTTCCCTTCACCATATCTACTTAATGACTCTCAGTACGCTTAATAGAAGTCTGGGGTGTTTTCCCTCTGCACATTTTTTCTGCTGTAGCTGTTTTAACCTTTGATTTGAGTTGTCAGCCGTGTGGAGTGTCACACCTGGCTGTGTGCAGCCCAGTCTGACTGTGGTGATACATGTTTATTCTCAGAGCAGCACCAGGGAGGAGGCAGTGTGCTGGCAGGGATTGGAATATTCTCCTTTTCCTTTGTTTTTTACTCCAGAAGGTTCATCAGTACAGGACCTTGCTGTGGGTGCTCCTGTGAGCCCGTGGTCACACAGCCCAGTGTCAGAGCCAGTGACCCTGATGCCACTGGGGTGGGACTGATGCTGTCACTGAGGGATCTTTGTCCCAGGGGCAGAGAGTTGTGTCCTCCCAGTTGTTTTACACTGATCAGGAGCAGCAGAAAGCAGTGAGGGGGGATATCTGTCTGTCCAAGCAGAGCCTCTGTGTTAGGGTGGAGCATTTGGGGTGTGGGCAACGCTTCACCTCCTTGCCAGCAGCCCACAAATTCCCACCTTAGACTCTATCAGTCTATTAATTCTCAGGCAGTGAAGCTAAAAAAAGCTTTTTCTGACAACCTCCATCTGTGCACTCCCACTTTAAAAAATAAGATTTAAATACAATTTGCACAACTGTAATAGATTTAGATGTAGCAGAGAAGCCATTTGCAAATGAGCAAACCTGCAGGAGGCCTTGACCAGTAAAACCTCCCTGAGGTCCGTGGAGGGAGGGGAAACCTGTGGGGCGGGGCTGAGCAGGGAGCCTTGGTGTGCTGCAATAATGTCATCCTGGCTGATGCTCTCAGTGCTGTTGGTTGATGCTCTGTTTTATATGGTTTGGGTTTTTTTTTTTTTTTTTTTTTTTTGTTGGTTTTTTAGGTACAAATAACACTCTTCTCTTTTCTGCAGGACAGAATCATCAATCTAGTTGTTGGTGGCTTAACAACCTTGCTGCTTGTAGTAAGTATCTCCCATCCCACCCCATGTTGCATCTTTAAGTGGCAGGGAGAAAACCAGAATTCCTCCCCAAAAATGGCTGGTGAAGCTTCCAATGACCAAAGAGGCTCTGATTTAGGGCAGGCAGTCATTTTGGGACATATCTGTCTTTTAAAACTCTTTGACAACAGGAGAAGGGGAATACATTTCTTTAAGAGCTGCAATAAAATCCCGAAGTTCTCTGGCAGATTGTCCATCCTGGCTGAACATGAGGCTGGGTGAGACAACAAAGCATTATGCCAGGAGAGCGTGTTTGCTTCTATTTCCTTCTATTTCTGATTTATTGTCCTCTATTTATGGCTTATATAAGTCTTCCCAGAGTTTGTCCCTTTGTGTTGAGCTGTGCTTTCCCCAAGCTTTAAAGACAAACCCAACACTGTCAGGACTGGAGACCATGAGTGTGGTCCATGGGGGGATTGTTGAGAGCTGGGGTGCAGAGAGGCTCTGGGGACAGGTGAGGTGCCAGCTGGTGGAACACTTGGCTGAAGGGATGTGTCACAGACATCTTCTATGAAAAATCCTTTCCTTAGGATTTTTCCTCCTGAGAAGCCTCAGGAACAAAATGTAAACATTGATTATCTGCTGCTGTGGAATGCAACAGGTGCATCTGTGATTGGCCCATGTTGGTTGTTTCTAATTAATGGCCAATCACAGTCAGCTGTCTCAGACAGAGCCCCTGAGCCACAAGCCTGTTATCATTCCTTCTTTTTCTATTCTTAACTAGCCTTCTGATGAAATCCTTTCTTCTATTCTTTTAGTATAATTTTAATATAATATATATAATAAAATAATAAATCAAGCCTTCTGAAACATGGAGTCAGATCCTCATCTCTTCCCTCATCCTCAAACCCCTATAAACAAAATCTCAGGGATGCTCTACATGGGCAGTGTGCACCCCTGGGCCTGACGGCTTCAGGGCCACTTGCAGGGTGGTTTGTGACAATGAGCCAGTGTGGCAAAACTTTTGGCAAAGATTTTTCCCCACTCCTCTCAGTGTGCAGCTGTATCAAAGCAGTTTTCCTCCAGACTTGCACATCTTCCTTCAGCTCCTCAGGGGTGGGAGGCAGAGGCCAGGGAGGGGTGTGCAGGTCAGGATGTGAGCATTGCTCTGCTCCAGCCCTTGGGCTGAGCCTCTTCTCACTGCAGCTCTGGCCAGACTGAAATCCTCATCTTTGTTTTCCTCCATACAGGTCACTCTAATCAGTGCTTTTGTCTTCCCACAACTACCTCCAAAACCTGTGAATGTATTTTTTGCTTTCTGCATCTCCTTGTGTTGCATTTCTGCTGGCATTCTTGTAAGTACCGCCACGTTTGCCGTGCTTTTGAGTCGATGGCTCTGAGTAAAATCTGCTGTATGTGGTGCTGCCTTCTTTTTTACACTCTCCTAGAAAAGCTTTCCTGCCTCCATAACACAAGCTGACAATGAGGGAGTGGCAGTGGGTTTTGTATTTACTGCAGGGTAAGCGTGTGAACTGAGCCAGCTCCTGCAGCCCAGCTGTGGTGCAAGACTTGTCATCTCTGTGGCACTGCCAGTGCAGTCACAGAGTAGGAAACCAGGGAGGAGAGCCCTGAAATGGGAATGCAGAGATGGATTGTGCTGCAAAGACACCTGAAGTGGGATCAGCCCTGCACTTGCATTAGTCAGTGTCCTTTCAAACACAGGGGATGGGTTACAGGGGTAGGAAGCTACAGCATGTGAAAGATGTTCCTCTACTCAGTAACTGCAGAACTCCAAGGGAGCTGGTCCCGAGCACTGGCAAAGGGAGCTGGCAGGTCTGAGTTCACAGAATCACAGAATGGTTTGGGTTGGAAGGAGCTGTCAAAGACCATGCAGTCCAACCCCCCTTCCATGGGCAGGGACATTGGTGGCTCCTTCCTCTGCTGTAGTTTTCATACTTGGAGCATTCTCCTTCCTGCAGCTGTGACCTGGAGCAGCCCTGAGCCCCTCACTGCTGGCTACACTGGGAAGTTGCTCTGCATTGCCTGGCCAGTCCATTTTTGATCCTACAGCTGGTGGCCACAACTCTGCCCAGAATAGACTGTGTTAGTGCAAAGCTGCTGTTTGTCCTCATCCACCAGGGTGAGCCAGCTCTGAGAGTTAAAGCCACCCACGCTCCCTCCCTCTCAGCAAAGCTGACCAGACAGCACATGTCCTCAGGGCCTGTTTCACATACAGACACACACACTCAGACCCTCTGGCCACAGGAAGCTGGATTGTTTTACAGGAAGGAAAAAACCCAAAACTAAATCACCAAAACCTGCAAGTTGCCAATTCAATTTCCAAAAATAGTTTCCTCAGAATACCTGGTTTTTTGAAATAACACAAACCCCTCTTCTCTTCTAGATCTACTGGTATCGACAAGGAGACCTGGAACCCAAATTTAGAAATCTAATTTACTACATATTGTTTTCTATTGTCATGTTATGTATATGTGCCAACCTGTACTTCCATGAAGTGGGTAAATGAAGGACATTGGAATACCCAGCAATGATGCTGCTGTGTCAGAACTGCTTCCAGCTCAGCTCTCAGCTCCACTCGAGACATCCAAGTGAGAACCATCAGCCTGAGAGGAAAGAAGTGGGTTGTGCAAGGATAAATCAGTACATGATTTTCATGTAAATGTATATGTAATGTCCCTCTTGTTGGGGAGAATTATTGCCATAAGACGTGACATTCTGCTTTTTTTTGAAGAGCTACTGTTGCGCTTAATGAACATTCCAGTTGTACTGATGTTTCAGAATGGCACAAGCTTTTTCATTTTGGAAAAAAACTGCACTTTTTTTTATTACTGTACAAATAAACTGCAGCACTGAAAGGATCTGTGGCAGTATAAATAAATGGCATCTTACAGTCAAGTAAGACAAATACTCTTTATTTTGTTGAAACTGAATATACAATTATTTCTGTTCCCTAGGCAACCATTTAAAACTACAACTTATTTTTCACATTAACAAAACCACAGACTGAAAAAGACCAACTCTTGATTATGAAGAGCTAATTACAGAAATAAATAAAATAATTTATACAAGTCTTTAGTTTCTATAGCTTTTTCTCTTGATTCCTAGCTAACAGGCTGCTGATCAGCCTAGTGTCTGTTTCAAACAATGCAGGAATTAATTGGCCTTCTTTGCCTTGAGGCCCTATGTCCAGACTCTCACAGAGCTATTCCTCCATGACTTTGCCACCTCCACACCACTTCCCATTTACTAACTTGCTGCAGGAATCACATCTGGAGAGGTGGCTGGTAGTGTCAGGTAAACAGCAACAGAGACAAACGTTCCAACCTACTCACAACAATCTCCAAGAATTTCCCAGCTTGTTGGGGGAGGCTGGTGGGTCCCAGTAGCTTCCCTTTCTCATAGCCCTTCCCTTTTTATTTAGCTTGCTGTAGTGATGAAAGAAAAAAACAAACCAAAAAAACCCCAAGATTTTCCACAAGTGATTTTTCTGAGCTCTGTCCATTGCCAGCAATGGACTCCTCAGGAACAAGCAGACCAGGCAAGTCCCATAAGCTTCTGCCTTCTTCCTATGCCACAGACATGTGAACGAGTCAGGTGAGAGGGGAGCACACACCATAGCTTCACGATGCTGCCCATGCTCCCTGAAGTCTCTGATGGAACTCACTCCTTCCTGAAATGTAACAGTCTCTTACTCCATGTGTTACAAGAGTCAGTAAGTGCAAAAATCCTCACCCATTCTTCATGAAACCTGTGCAAACTACTACTTGCTGTGGCACTAAGAGGCTCCAGTCCACAATCCTTGACTTCTGTCCAGTTTTCCACGTGTGCAGTTCAGCACATCAGTAACAAGTCAGATCAGAACTGACTGCATGGAGCTGAGCACTGTGAGCACTGCAACAGAGGCTCTTCAGCACACTGGAACACCCCAGTGAGACGTGGCACCTCAGTCCTCCCTCCTGGTGAGGGAAACAGCCTGAGCAGAGAAAGTGCACCGCAGCCATTTCACACTGGAAGCTGCTGTTCAAAGAGACAGACTGTGACTGCTTTCTTTGGAGACATGGCACAGGTTGTAACTAACTTCACAATGCAAACATGGTCAATAGGAAATGGACACCACTGCTGCTTCTCAGGGACAGCTCACTAAATCCTCAACATCCTTGGAATCTTCTGAGTCAGGACTGCCCAGCGATGAGCCAATAATGTGTGACCCATCTCCATGGTGCTGCAGGATAGGATCTGGCAAGGGACAAAAAGCATTAAAACTATTGCTGTGCCATTACAACAAGATATAAAACACAAATTTAGGAGACAGGAAATGTAGCCTGGAATTCTAACCAATTGCAGGCAGTGTTGCTCAAACTGGGCAGTTTGCAATTTCTAGTTTCACAGGATCACAGAATAGCTGGGGTTGGAAGGGACCTCTGGAGATCCTCCAGTCCAACTCCCTGCTAAAGCTGCTTCAGGCAGAGCACTTTGCACAGGACCACATCCAGGTGGGTCTGAGTATCTTTAGAGAAGGTAAGTGATAACCAATATGGATGGACATGGATGCAATGGTGTGACTCACATTTGCATCCATCAGGTGTTGCACTATCAGTGCTGACCCTCTGATGGCTCTACAGGGAGATGCTTCCTCTGGGGAGGAGTATTTGCTAGGTTACTTGCAGTTTGATAGCACTGATATGTAAAATTATTTTAGAGAAAGCAAGAATCTATGAAGTGTTTTCTGCAGAGACTCAGAAGCTCTGAACACTGCTTTAATGACAGGGACTGTCATACCTGTGAGAGTTGTCAAGGGCAAGACTGATTCATTATCCATATCATCTGTTGCCTGGATAAAACCATGGGAAGAAGGAACAATAAGCACAGTCTCATCATCTATTGTAGGCTGATCAACTTGTTCTTCTATTGTTGGGGAACCCAGATCCTGCACAACACAGAACAGGCCATGAGAGTGTATTCATGGTAACACAAACAAAAGCCTGCATTGCTCAGCCATAATCCACTCTGGATGAATTTTATCTCATTAAATTGAAATGTCACCACCTGAGATAGTTTATTTCAGCATTTAGAGGGCATGTTATCTTAGTGCACGCACCCAAAAACAAGATGAGAAGAATTTTACCCTGTTAAGCAATATGGAGAGGAAGGGAGACACTCCAGGTGGTGTTCCCTTGCAAGTCAAATATTAAGTCTGTGAAGAGGAATATTTAGGCTTTTCCACTACTTTCTGTCTAGATTTTCTGAGACTGAAGCATTACCACTGTAGCACTTACCTGCTCCACAAACCCAACAGCTTTACCTTAAGTTTCACAACTCCTGTGGTCAAGTTTTAACTAACACTGAACACAGAGCTCAAAATATCCCCTTCACTTGCTGTGCCTTGCTTGGTCTGTCACTGGCTGGAATTTGGCTCCAGACTTTTTTTGCAGAACCTAATGGTACCACAACACTGGTAACACACTGATTCCTTCCAGGTACAATTGTCAATACCCTCATTCTCTTCCAATTCTGTCATTGCTGCTGCTCCTGCCTCTTCCCTGGCTCCTGTGGTACTGGAATGGCAGCAACACATCTGGCTGACTCAGTGTCAAAGCACACTCCTGGTTCCACAAATGCAGTGAAAAGTCATCCCACACATCACTGCCAGAACCAGCAGAGACATCTGGATTCCAGTTTTTGTGTGTAACACGCATAAGGTTTGTTCAAACTTCAGGAATCCCTGATGTAAAATGCTAGCAACTGCTGCTGACACAATGGAAGGTACCTGGATTTATCACTGTTTTCAGAGGTTACAGCTCTCTGTGTTTAAGAAAATCCTGATGTTCCTCCACCTTGTTTTGTTTTTGTAGGAAAACTTGTTTCCCTATGTAACTGCACAGTGTTTTTGCAAAGAGAGCTGTCTGAAAACCCCTTCCTTGATGCTGCTGGAGAGGAGCTGACAACCTGTGAACTGCACAAGGTCCCATGCACAAGGGCATGGTGTGCCTGACCTGCAGGAGCAGCTCTCAGCAGAGCACACAGCTCTGCCCACAGCAGCACTGGGCTGCAGGGCCTGAAACTGGGAAGAGGAGGCGTGAAAAACTAAAGAAGCCATTGTGGCAAATGGGCACCTTTCCCAGGCAGAAATAATAAAACCCTGCAGCATGACTGCCTGCCTCCCACTACCCACCCACAGTGACAATACAACCCTGGCAAGCTCATAAAAATAACACTGACTTAAAGAAAACAAAATGTAGGCATGTTTTTCTGGAGTAACTTTTCACTGAGAATTACTCACAGACAGTTCACTATTTCCTGGAATTTAAGTACACATGTCAAACTTGAATCTGACTTGAAGAGTAAGGCAAATTAGAATTACAAATTCAGTTTGTTTTTCTGTATAGCAAAAAAAAAGTTTAGTTTTACATTCTGCTAGCCATGAGCAATTTGTACAAAGTTAAACTAGGAACTAGGTTAATATCAAAAGTTTATTAATTCTACCTCGAGAAGCTGAAGTTTTAAAATGAGAACAGAAAGCTGATGGCCTGCCTCAAATGTTGAAAATCTTATCACAATTATGTCAACCATGACACAGAAAGAGGAAAATGGAAGAAAAATCCCCATCTTCTGATTTATTCAGGATTCAGATGCTTCTGTAGTAGAAAATTTAAGATGTACAAAGATTCTCCCTTTTGTAAGAGCATAACAGATATGCACTGTCTATTAGAAGCTTCTTCAAAGACAAGGCCAAAGCATATTAATGGTGGATTTTCAAGGCTGACAAAGCAGAAACGCAGCTGCTGTAGAGAACAGTGTCCTAAAAAACAGCTAAGGATGTTTAATTCTAACTCATCTTTTCCCAAATTCCAACCTAATCAAACCCATAAAGGAAGAGGAATTTTGTACTGACTAAAGAGTGTTATCACCTTCTTTTTAGCACCTCTGTTTTCTGTGACTTAGTCATTTTCATAATTCCAGCAACTGAAAGAAACTATCCAAATAGCTGTAATCCTTTGGATAAACTCATTTCTTCATCTCAGGTGTTGGAGATGAACAAATCTGAGGCCAGAGAGAGAAGTAGCTTAATGTTTCAATTTCCCATTTAACAGATACTTGGCTGGAGCAGGATGTTTAATAGAAATCCTCAAAACTGGAAAATGAGGTGCATCTTGAATTATGTTATTAGACTCATAAAGCAAACCCCAAACACTCTAGCCCTCCTCCCCTGCTCAATCCATCTATTGATACAGGGTGTTGGACAATTACCAGCCCAGTTTAAAGCAACAGCATCAAGCAGGAATCACCTGAAGGCACCTGTTCAGTGCCACCAATGCTGCAGCTTTCCACGGTCACCATGCAGAAGAATCCTGAGCAGTGAGGCAACTCCACAGCTAGTGAGGTGCTCAGTGCTCCAGAGGAGTAATATACGCCTTGCTACCCAATTAAATGCTGTTACTTTCATACTTGTAACACACTAATGAAGCTCAAGGATAGAGATCTCAGCAAATACTTGTAGAACTGTGATACAGAATCACAGAATTGTTTGGATGGGAAGGGACCTTGAAGATCATTTCAGGCCCCAACCATCTAGCCTTGAACACTTCCAGAGATGAGGCAGCCCACAGCTTCCCTGGGCAACCTGTTCCAGTGCCTCACCACTCTCACAGGAAAGAATTTTCTCCTAATGCCTATTTAAACCTACATTCTTTCAGTTTGAAGCCATTCCCCCTTGTCCTATCACTATACCTCTTATGAATAGTCTCTCTTCATCTTTCTCCCATCAGCTACCAATATTAATGAAATCACTGAGATATTTCTGACAAATAGCTTAACATCAAGGC